TTCTTTCTTTCATTTTTTTGAGACAGGGTTTCATTGCATAGTTTAGGCTGCCCCTGAACTCATGTAGCCCAAGCTGGCCTTGAACTTGCAGTAGTCCTCTCACCTCAGTCTGCCTAGTGCTGGGATTACAAGAGTGTGCCACCATGCGCAGCCCTAATTTTCTCTTTGTTTCTAGTCTCTGTACTGGTAGGTTGGCTCAATCATAAAAATGTGAGCTCTTTTGTTTGGAAAGAAAAAGTAAGAAAGAAGAAACAGAAAAGAAAAAAAATGAAAGAGAAAAAACCACAGCAGGCTGAGTTTCTTGTTTGGAGCTCTGCTTCATGTGGAAGTGCACTTAATGTGGCTGCTTACATTACTCAGGGGATTTGCTAACCATCACTGTCTGCCAGAGCTGCCTGGTCCTCTCTTTCTTGGTTACAGAGGGCGGGCCTTTCGGTGTAGTCTGAGTTCCTCCCTGAAGTCGAGGGCTGGTGCGGCGATACTAATGCTTGGTGCGGTGCTCTGCTCCTGCAGGGCCTAACCAAAGAGTGACTTCTTTTCCACAGTGATGTAGACAAAAACCACAATGAGGAAAATGCCAAGGATGGCAAGTCTCAGGCACACTGGGAACTGGCTCCCCATGCCACTCAGGATCCCCACGCAACACTGCTTCTCTTGGGGGGCAGTCCAACTCTTGATCCTGTGGTTCCACGTCCTGGCAGGACACCTGTGGAAACACGAGTGGCTCCTGGGGCCATGCACAACTATTTTCTGAGCACCCCTTAGAGTTAGTGTATAAACCTTGACTTCAGAAGAAGCGACCACAGTGTGGCTTTCTGTACAGCCGTGGATCGACACCTATGCTAACTTGCACAAGTGACTTTCTATCAGCCCGCAAAGCACTGATCTGCCATTACTGCCCACCAGCCTAGCCTCTGCTGGTGCTGATGCAGAGCCTGATGCATGAGGCTTTTACATTTCTTTTTTTAAAGTCTGTGCTTTAAAGTGCAAAAAGATAGCACATTTGCTGAAATGTTTTAGTGAGAGCCTTGCTTCTACTTTTCTAATCCCACAAAACTTAATATTCATTCAAAAGGTAGGGTGCTTTCTAGGAAGGCTGACTTCATGGGGCTGTCTCTCTACCACTGAGCCACACCTCCAGCACTCCATGCCCCCATTTTACTTTCTGACTGATAAAATGACCTGTCTGGGTTTTATTTCAAATATGTGTTCCCCAGCACCACACTCCTCACCCATCCTTGAAGATATAAATGTATCCAAATGACTTCCATTAGGAGGCCCAGACAGCAGTCTCAGATTGAAGACGTGGTTTGCCCTTTTCCACTGTCAACCCAGCCTGATTTCTTTATGTCTGATAGAAGCAGCAGACTAGAGACCACCAAGGTTCTATGGGCTTTGAAATTATGCACCATTATAAATTTTTCTAGTCAATGGATTCTTTACAGGCTCAAGCCCTTCCCAGAAATCTGAATGACAATTTTTTCCTCAGGAGTTACACAGCACACTAATGCCAATGTTTTCATCTACTCCCAAGGGACGTTTGTTACCTTTTTCCTTTGGAAGGCTTCCAGCACATGCAACAGGCTTCAAGAGCTCTTGTTTTAGTGGCGGGAGCTCTGGGTCTCTGATAAACACAAAGAAAATGTCAACAGCTTCCAATGCCTTGTACAAAAGGCACTGGTTTTTATTCTAGAGTAAGAAAAGCATCTGATCTGAGAACTAATCAGTTTATGGCACATCAGGTGGTTTAATACTTCATAACCCAAACTTCAAGTTTG